TATATATATATATTGGGAAAGGTGGCAAAATGTTCATTTGTGAAAAAAATTATATAAAACATGATTCATGATATTATTGTTCGAAATAAACTATAGCCTCTAATTTTATATCAATGATTTTAAATAGATGGTCACTTCAATAACAAAAAAAGATTAAGTTGTTTCTTAAATTAATATGATTATTATCCGCATTTAAAAAATCTTAAATATGTAAATATTTATACATTTTTTATAATCTGTAACTTAATTTGAAAGAATTCTTAAACTCATGTGCATATTTGTTTAAAATTTATCTATTTAAACATACTATTTTAAATTTTAAGGATAATATTATTTCAAGATGCAGTTTATGCAATGATGGAACCAAAATTTAAGGCTTCATTCTTCTTAATTTTTTTAAATTATTATAAATATGATTCTTAAATAAAAATATAATTATTATTAAAATTTTAATGATTTTAAAGATATAAATATTATTATAATTATTGAATTTGGATCTGTTATGTGAATCACATCCAAGGAATGGAATGTAAAACAAGTAAATGAAGAAAGAATGAGTTATTGAATTTGGATCTGTTATGTGAATCACATCCATGGAATGTAAAACAAGTAAATAAAGAAAGAATGAATGAAAGAGAGAGTACACAGTAAAAATCTTATTCTCTGAAGGCGACCGATTAATTTCTTATTATAGAAATGATCCTCTAATTTATAAACAGGGAGGTATAAAGTGAAAAATTACTTGGTTGCTCCTATTTTTATGAAGGTGTCATGTGATATTTTAAACATATAGAAAATAAAGAAGCCTATGATTCGGTTAACTCATAGTTCGATCAACAAAGACAAATGATCCTTGGGTCAACCAAGTATATTTGACAATTTTTGTCGAGTTAGGGCAATTGGTCCGCCCTAGCAGTCTTTTGATTGTCTAAACTTTATTTGGCCTACTTGAGTTAGTTGGTTGATTGTCTCAATCTGATTGTCGACTGTTGAGTTTTGGATGAGAAACTCATGTTGCTAGAGTATAACAATACTGTCAAGTAGAGTGTGAATCACTATAATCTCATGAGTAGTCATCCTCTTTTGATAATATATTAGTCTGAAAGCCTCGATGAATGTTCAATAATGAGATCCTTAGGCCTCTTGAAGTCTTCAAGGCCCTTGCAAGAAGTTTGGTGATAATTCAATGAGAGTGAAACATGTTCCTTCCCTGAGTTGGACACCTCTTGAATTTTGACTCAAACAACCTTCCTTCGGTCGATCCGAATTCTGTTTCGATGGAGTTGTAGGCTTTAACTGGTTAACAAGAACCTTTAGTCTTTTGCTAACGTGGTCCTGACCCTTTTTTTTATGGACCATTCTTGACTACAATCTTATCTTATATTCAGATGAGTTTCTATAGATTCGTGCTCATGCATTTCTTATGTACAATAATGTAAAATGAATTCAAATTTATATTGCACTCCTCTTAAAATAATAATTATTAAACTAAATAAAAATAAATTCAAAATCGTTGTCCGGTTTTTTTGTTTCCGGTTTATTTAGTCGCAGTGACCGGCCAGTGAGCCGTTCTTCACGGTTACCGCCATACTGTTTACACGTGCCACTTCGCCGATAAGTCGGGATTTATATAAAAAACAACCTACGGTCGCTGTGATCTTCTTCCACAAATGGAATGCCAACCCGGATGAACTATATCAGTCACATCCAAAATCCCTTTCAGCCTCTTCACACCGAAGAGCTCAGCAGCAATGATCTATCCATGGAGGAAAGCCGGAGCTATAAAAGGGCTTGCTGTATTCTTTCTCCCGTCATTTGCTCAGTTCCGATCGCCACCGGTCTGTTCGTCTCCGGCCGTGAACGTCGTGTTCTTCTTAGCGAATCGAGAACCTAGGAACTGTTGAGATTGTCGATGGGTGAAGGTATGAGACCCGGTGAAAGAGGTGAAGTCATGGTGCAGCCGGGATTAAGCCTGGCTAGGCTTTGTTTCTGTTGCATGGTCGCCGGCGGGGTGCAGTTTGGCTGGGCGCTACAGCTCTCTCTCCTCACTCCCTATGTCCAGGTTTGATTTCTTTTTTACTATTCTTTGAAATAAATTTAGGTTCTTAGATTTCGTTCCTGGAGATGTTTTTGAAGAATGAGGCTAAATTTGTTTAGGTTCTTAGATTTCGTTCCTGGAGATGTTTTTGAAGAATGAGGCTAAATTTGGTGTGGGGTTTGGCGATGTTGTCACCATTTCTGTCCATTAAGCTCCTTGAACTACCGTTCTGTTACCTGTTATTGATCCGAATGTCACAGTGCAAGCAAAGCCGTAGAGGGAGAAAAGAAAAAAGAAAGCGAGGATATTTTTTAGGAAATACGATATATATATATGAGATTTGTGCGGGATAAAGAGCAGATTGGTTATCTTTCTGCTACGTTTATTTCGAAGTAAATCTAAGGGTTTTGAATTTTATTTATGCTTTAATCAAATGTTGGTTGATTCATGCCGAGAGAGAGAGAGAGAGAGAGAGAGAGAGAGAGAGAGAGAGAGAGAGAGAGAGAGAGAGAGAGAGAGAGAGAGAGAGAGAGAGAGAGAGAGAGAGAGAGAGAGAGAGAGAGAGAGAGGGAGGGAGGTTGTAACGTCTAAATCTGGAACATTTATACAATCGACGGCCAATTACTTTCATTTAGAATAATATAACTCATATTTGGAAGACCATGACAACACTGCCACCTATATCTTTTGTTTTCATGAAATAAGCTTTAATGTGATTATAGCATGAAATACATGCATTTGTTAGTTCTTTTACGCCACCAACAAATTTTAATCTTCCGACACGAATTTCAAGATATGATACAGATCTGATAATATTTAGAGCAAGAAATGTTCAAATCTTGATAAAAAATCATCCAGAACTTTAACAAAGCTATTGTCAAACTGACCAGCTTGATGAGCTAATGAAATCAAAATTAATCAAATCTGAGTCAAATCAAGCCTGGATCAAGTCATTAAATCATTCTTAGAAGATTTTCGGATACATTTTAAAGGTCAAACGGATGCCGAATCTGACAAGTTCATAGTCGAATCAGACGTCTTGATAAGGCAAATCCAAAGAGCGCATGGGCATTCAATTCCGACATCATTAAAACATCCAAATGTTCATTAAATGCAGTCTGATTTAAGGAAGCTCTACAGACCGTTTGATCATAATGATTCATATTCCTCCATTTTTTGCACCAAAAACACTATAAATAAACTTTCACCCCTCACATGAGGGGGAGATTGATCCCCAGGAGAGAACTTGAGGCTTTAAGAATGAGATGAAGTCTAACACCATCTCGACCGTCGTGGACCACCGCTGACTGCCGCTGACTGCCAAGGATAACCGCCAACCACAGTCGACTGCCACTGACCGTCGTTGACTGTCGCTGACTTTTGTAGACACCTGTCGACTGCTGTCGATCACTGCCAATCGCCATTGACAACCACCAATCGTCATCGAGCATCACTAATCAGACGTCGTCAGTCGACATTATAACTTTAAAAAATTAACCCTTTCCCGTTTGTGGGAGAAGAGATTTTTATAATCATCAATAAATAATGGATTTTTACAACTAGGCTAGACCCCATAGTTTTTTCTCTTAACAAGTTTCACATGTAAAAACTTATTGTGTCATTTGTTGTTTTTCTTTCATATTAACAAGTTTCACATGTAAAAACTTATTGTGTCATCATTTGTTGTTTTTCTTTCATCTGAGTGTGTGCTAAATTCTCATGCAACACTAAGATGAGAATCTATTACTCTATCGCCGCGAATTTTCTAGCACTCATTGTTTGATGCCGTCTGTGAGAAACAAAGCACCATTTTACACTGTCATCCAACTGACGAAGGAATCTTTTTTGCTTTTAAAAGATCATCCTTGGAGCATTCTTTGATGTGGGTGTAACCTTCACCACAATCTCGAATGGTCATTCACATCAAAGTCCCTAGCACGATGGTAGTGGAGTTATCTTCTTGCATTCTATTCAGACACAAAGTATATTACACCTTCTAGGCTGGGGTCAACTTTCACTGCAGTTTCGAAAGGTCGTTCATGTTATCGCCTTGGGCACGACTGTGGTGGGGAAGTCATCACATAATTCATTCAGATTACAAGTCTACGAGAATCTCTCCTGGGCTGGGGGGCAACATTCACCGCAAATAACACTTTCTTAATGCCCCCTCATCATACTGGAGTTTCTCTTCAACTAGATCAAGAAGTTGATATCTTCAAGGCTTAATACATGTGTTGTTTTACAAGCTCGCATGGAAAACACCCTCGCTGAGGAGCAAAAGATTTAAAAAACCACAATTAACAAGTTGTCAAATATTTTTCTTGAGTATGATTGTAACCATATTTTTAAGAAAATATACGGTCTATTGCGATCCATGCCATAGTCTCGAGAAATGCAGAGCATCTCTGACATCTCATTCTAGGTTTAATCGATCATAAGGGGACTCGATTCGACCTCTTCCATTACAGACTATAGTCGTCAAGAAAAAATTTTGACAAACAACTTCGGATAGGTCAAAAATCATTGGTGCATTTCCTTCGACCTATTCCATTACAGGTTACAGTTATCAAGCAAAAACTTCGATATACAGCCTCAGATAGGTCAAAAATCTTTGGTGAAGTTCTTTTGACTTCTTCCATAACAGTTAACGGTCATCAAACAAACGTTTCGACCAACAATCTAGGATAGATCAACCATTCTCAGTGAATTTTTTTACGGGTTAATACCGTCAAATATCTCCGGTTATACAACCAGTACTGGTCTTACATCATTCTTCTTTCAACTATGCCCCTTGAAGTTGAGCCTGGGCGACAAATCTAGATGAAAAGCTTGTTGTGAACAGGGTCCTCACTAGAAAGACTCCACGAGAATAAGTGGTTGATAGGGTTTCCACTCAAAGACCTCAGAAAGCTACAAGCCTCAGAAGACAAAAATACATAATAATCTCAGAAGACACAGATATATAAAAAAATCTCGGAAGGTTACGAACTTTAGAAAGTACCGGTTCATTTCAAGTTCCTATAAGGCATAAGCCCGAAAGGACACAACCTCGGAAGACACGAGTCTCAAAAGGTACGCGATTCTTTATTTTATAAAATGAGTGTACTAACTTTAATTGCATAATTTTGTACGGTTGATAAGCCACAACAGCCTCAAAAGCAACATCAAAGAGATACAAAGAAATACAATAAGAACTGATCCAAAGGCTACAAGAGATATTGCCGCTATAAAAACATGTAATTCTCCCCTCAAAGCATAGCGGGAAAACTTTAGCATTTCTTCATCTCCACCGAAATGCGCAACAGCAAGCAAGAAGAATTTCACAAACCATTGTCTTATCAGTTCCTTTAGGCGAAAATCTAACGCCTTGTGCTTAAATACCACATGATTATGAGTGTCACTAAAGAACCCGCACAACCGTACTAAAATTGTCGGTGTTAACGTTAAGCCGTGACTCATGGAGAAAACAATCAACCCGATAATAACTGTCACCACTGACAAGACAACCGAGCAACTTAAACTCGGAACGCCTTCATGATTTCAATAAACTCTGATGCTGACAAAAATCGTAGGCCAACTCTCAAGGCTGTCTCATGAACGACGATATACCTGGAAGGAGGAGAACACGCTCGATTGGTCGAAGTCGACAATTTCACCATCTTATCATTCGAAGAGTAATATTTATTTTGAAACAAGATCAAATCGCTCTTCGTCAGAATTTGCACTGCATCCTCCAGGTTCTGACCTTTCATTTGGTTCTCAATGGAACGAGGTTTTCTAGTTGTCACCATTTTTGCAATGCGAAAGAAGATCCACAACGTTGATCTGCTACGCAGGATGGGGACGACTTTCCTCTTCACTGCAACAAGAAAGAAGATCATATTGACTGCAACGAGAAAGAAGATCTCGTTGCGTGTCTGCTACGTACGACGTAGATGACTTTCCTCTTCTCCTCCATGAGAAAGAAGATCCTGTTACTTTCCTGCCACGCAAGACGGGGACGACTTTTCTCTTCGCCGCAACGAGAAAGAAAATCCCTTTGCTTGCTTGCTACGCAGGACGCGAACGACTTTCCTCTTCCTCTAACGAAAAAGCTGATCTCGTTGCTTACCGCTATACAAGACAAAGACGACATTTCTCTTCATTGTCACGAGAAAGAAGATTTTGTTACTTATCTGCCATGCATGACGAAGACAAATTTCCTCTTTGCCCTTCACAAGAAAGAATATTTCGCTGCTTGCCTGCTGCGCAGGACGAGGACAACTTTTCACGTCACCGCAAAGAGAAAGAAGATCCCTTTGCTTGCCTGCTACACACGACGGGGATGACTTACCTCTTCCCCGCAACTCTTCACCACAACTCAGCGCCGCAACTCTTCATCTCAACTATTCGCCGCAACTCTTCATTGCAGCTCTGCACCGTAACTTTTCGCCGTAACTATACACTGCAGCTCTGCACCGCAATCCTTCACCACACTTTCCGCTGCAACTCTTAACCGCTATACATGACAATTTTTTTCTTCTGGAACATCTGAGGACTCCACCTTTATCCTTTCCTTCAGGCCTATTTATAGGCTCAAAAATAGATTCAAATATTAACCGCTCATTATTATATAAACTCAAAAATGAGTGCAAACATTAAATACTCGTTATTAAATTTTTTTATTTTATTTTATATTCCTTCTGTTTTGGTCTTTCAAATTCTGCATGTATGACATGAAATTAATTGAAATCGTTAAAAAAAATAAATGATGGGATAGGAACCATTAAAAAAAATTATGCTCAAATTATTATTTGGGCTCTTTAAATTCCTCTTTTTATATGTGCTCCCTCGGATCCCGTGGCTCGCCTTCCCATGCTCCAGCTCAGGCACACGGTTCAGATTCCCTCAAACCGACCCGCCTTTCCAACTTAAGCCCCGCCGGGTCCACTTCGAGCCTCCCAGCTTTGGCCTGCTGAGCCAACCATTCCCTACCCGCTTTAGCTAGTTTACCCGAAAGTCAGACACGTTAGAAAATTTTTATAATTTGTCCAAGGTAGGGTTCAAACCCTAATTATGCTGCTTGAAGCATAGGGTACCAACTAAATTTCATCAATATATGTTGATTTTTAAATTATTCTTATTTAATTAAGAATGGTAATAAACGATAATGAATATATATATGTATATATGTACTATGCCCTACAAAAATGAAAAAATAGTAGATTTTGATATTATTGGATGACGAATTGGATCTGCCCGAAAGTAGAAGGACAACTAATACACCACCAATGAATTTTCATCATTCGACACGGATCTCGAGGCATGACATGAATCTCGAGACAATATTTAGATCAAGAAATACTCAAATCTTGATAAAAATCATTCAGAGCTCCGATTTCAGCAAACTTATAGTCAAATTGACCGGCTTGATTAAACGAACCTAATGAAATCAAAGTTAATCTAATTCGAGTCAAATCAAGCCTGAATCAAGTCATTAAACCACACTTAGAAAGATTTTCGGACACATTTACAAGGTCAAACAGATGCCAAATCTACTAAGTTCATAATTGAATCGAGCGTCTCGATAAGATGAATCCAATGAGCCCAAGATCAATCAATTCCGAAATCATTAAAGCTTCCAAATGTCGATTAAACTCTGTGTGATTGAAGAAAACTCTCCGGACAGTCCAATCAAAATGGTTCATATCCCTGCATTAATTGCACCCAGAACATCATTAATAGACCCACACCTTTCACATGAGGGGGGAGCTTGAGCCTTGGGAGAGAATTTGAGGCTTTGAAAAGGAGCTGAAGTCCAACACCATCCCTACCATCGTCGACCACCGCTGACTTCCGTCGACCACTGCCGATCGTCTTAGACCGTCAATGACCGTCGCTGACTGCCGCTGACCACCGTCGACCGCCGACAACCGCCGTCGACCACTGTTGACTGCCGTCCACCATCGTTGACCGCCGTCGACCTCCAATAACTGCCAATGACCGTTGTAGACACCCATAAACTGTCGTCGACCGCTTCCGACCGCTATTGACAACCATCAATTGTCGTCGAGCACCACTAATTAGACGTCAATCGACATTATAACTTTGAAAATCTAGTGATTCTTTCCTATCTGTGGGAGAAAAGAATTCTGTAATCATCAATCCATAGTGAATTTTTACAACTGAGTATGACCCCGTGGCTTTTTTACTTTTCGGGTTTTCCACGTAAAAATTTCTGATGTCATCACTAGTTTTTTTTTTTTTTCATCTGAGTTTGTACTGAGTTCTCGTGCAACGCTAAGATAATAATCCATTACTCTACCGCTGCGAATTTTCTAACACGCATCTAGTTCCTTTTTGTACTGATGATTATTAGACTTGTAAATAGATATTGAAGAGAAATGCATAAAAAAGGAGTTTTTATATGTGATTTGATGTTGACGACATACACCCATTTGAATTCATCGCAGAAGATAAAAGGTTACTTATTGAAGTTTAACCTTCATTTTCTTCCTTATTTGATGCAGACGCTTGGGCTTCCACATCATTTGGCTTCAATCTCATGGCTCTGTGGACCCATTTCAGGGCTGGTTGTAAGTATTTTAACTCTATATTTTCGTCGTTTATATTTATACTTGAAGGCACTGTGTTGATTGAGTTTATGCGATTATTTAACCATGTTTTCATATGATTAGATTGCACCTACTGTTGGTTTATTGAGTGATAGATGCAGATTAAGATTTGGCAGGAGAAGGCCATTTATTGTTGCTGGATGCATAATTGTTTGTTTTGCTGTGAGTATTTGTTCATCCCTTATTCATGATTTAATGCTTGGAAGATTTACATACATTACAGTTAATTCCTATGTATATACATGTCTAACACCTAAACTTCAATTTTTACATATGCCATGAATGAATAGATTTCACTTTTTAAAAGCTAAGGAAGTGGCATTTTTAATGTGGCATGAATGATTTGGACATTATGAATGTAAAAAGTAAAATTTATGTGTTTGATATGCGAATACATAAGAATTGGGTGGTATTTATGTAAATGGCGCCGCATAAGAATTAGTTGTTTGTCATGTATAGGTGCTTTTGATTGGGTTTTCATCAGACATAGGATCTGCATTCGGTGATACAAAGGAGAATTGCAGGTTTATCTCACTTCTTGTACTTGTAGAAATCTCATCTATGATTGTATGATTCGGGTTTCAAATCCTCATGAGTTAGAAGGTTCATACAGCACATACATTGGTCCTCGATGGAAGGCTGCTGTTGTCTGTATAGTGGGGTTTTGGGTGCTTGATTTTGGTAACAATCTAATACAGGTACAATTTGTAAATATGGAATTACAAATCATTTTAAGCTTGAAATATGTAAAGTGAATTTTATCCCAACTATTTGGGGATGGCTTATGTTGAATCAGTGTATTGATCCTAACTCTCTGTGACTAATTACAGAGTCCAACTCGCGCAATGATGGGTGACCTGTCTGGTAAGTACAAGATTTTATTTGCAAATGTTTTTTTGGCTAATTTCATTGTTACATGGATGAATTATGCAATATCATTGACATAACTGATTTAATATGCATTTTTTCCCCTTCTGTGGTAGGAAAACATGGATGTAATGCAGCAAATATAATCTTTGCCTTTTGGATGGCTTTTGGAAATATCTTAGGCTTTTCTTCTGGGTCTATTTGGAGCTGGCATAAGTAAGTTGTTTTGTTAATAAAACATTCATAAATAAAAGTACATCCGCAGTTTGGTGGTGTTCATCTAGTTGATGACTCTTAACCAACGGAGTTCTTACCAGATGGTTTCCTTCCCTGATGACCAATGCTTGTTGCGAAGCCTGTGCTAACCTAAAAGGTGCCTTTTTGGTTGCAGTTGTAAGTTCCTCTTTCCCGCGGCTCATTACACTGCAATTTTTATTTGTTTTAAAGTCATTATTTTTTCATTTATTTGTTGTTTTTAAACTAATCTCATGCCACCTTGGTTTCCCAAATAAAGTTATGGTTTGAACTTTAGGCATTTGGATAAACTACAACAACAACAAGCCTTTATTCCACACCCCGGGTTCAAAAGGCAGTACACCCCGACATCGATTTGTATGATGAAATGATTTGAACATGTTTTGTATTATCAAAAAAAGATTTGCATGCAAATAATAACATTTATAAATTAATAAATGTATTTTTTTTTCATAATGAATAGTTCACTGATACAACTGAAATGAAAACAGAGAAGTAACTGAATCGAAACTGAAAGGACAACATGAAACAATTACTTGGACTCCAAAAGGAAAATATAATAGCTTAAATAAATAATGAAAAAATACCAAGACGAGAAGACTAAAACCAAAAAGTATGATTAGGTAGAGACGATCCTACGATCGTTTAACCTACTATGCAGAAATATTTAATAGTAAGTATGAAAAATAAATAGTACAGTTATTTATTAAAGCAAAAAAGGATAAAAAAAATGAGGCATGCAGGATGAACAACAAATAAAGATGATTACTACATGCATATATAACATAAACATCAAATTTGCTTACCTATCATAAGAAAATATGCAATTATTTTCCAATCAAGTTTCTTGTTATTTTGTTTTTCATTTATTATTTATATAGTCAATTTTAACAGACACTCTGAAACCGGGAATACCAATACTTACTCAATGAAACTCAAGGATTTATTATAGAGTCGTCACTTTGTGAGCCCGTTGGCCTGACTAGCCAATGTGATATTTTATTTTTCGTTGACTTATATACAATCACATACAATCATACCAAAATTTTCACAGGTATATAGGTATGAAATGTGATATTTAATACAAACTTGTGATATGACAGATGCAATTTCATACAAGTAAAATATAAGGGAAATGAAATATCATAATTACATAATTAACTCAATTATGCAAGAATTTTGCAGCAATAGATTTAGGTTATTAGTGATTTCATCATGAGCAATAATTGAGGTCTATAACAAAAAAAAAAAAAAACATGACTGATAATCCCGTAAAATAACTATGAATCTATAAATAACAAAGACAAACACCCATAATTAGGAAATGTATGTTTATCCACTAATAAAAAATAGTTACTTACCACAAGATTGCAAATGCGATACTTCTATGAATTTGACGGTTCAATATCAATCAGACACCAATTGAAAAATAAAATAAAATAATTATGAAATTAAACTTATTTATTTATGAAATGAAATTAGATGCAACCAAATTGACCTTTTGTTATTATCATTTTTATTATTATAATATTTTTCAAGTATGAAGTTCTGAACATTAACCTAGCAAATATAATTATAATAGTATATTATTTTTGTTTTAGTTTTGATATGGAGAAATTTATAATTTTTGAATTAGTTTGTTGGGAGATTTAAATATGCAACACTTCAAACCTAACAACTCTCATCAACCTCGAACCAAGAAATGAGGATCTACATTTTCCACCATAAAGTACTTCGTATGGCGCCGTACTGATAGTAGATTGGAAGTTATTATTATAAGCAAACTATACCAATGGATTATAAACTTCCTAACTAGCTCCGAAGTCCAAAATACAAGCTCTTAGCAAGTCTTCTAAGGTCTGAATGGTGTGCTATGATTGTTCATTTGTTTGAGGATGAAAAACAGTACCGAAGTCCAATCTCGTGCCCGTAGCTCCTTGCTATTGTTTTCATAACCTGGAAGTAAATCTTCCATTTCGATTTAATACAATGATAGTTGTAATTTTATGAAGTCGAATGATGTTGTCCATGTTAATTTTGACTAATTTATTCACTGAATAGGTCTTCTTAATTGATAGAAAATGAACTAATTTAATTTATCGACCACAACCCAAATATCACATATTCTTGTTTATCTTGACAAGCTAACCAAAAAGTTAATGGAAATTCCTTCCCATTTCTATTTTGGATGGGAAGGGATTGCAATCAACCACCAGGTCTCTCATGTTCGACCTTAATCATCTAACAAGTCAAACACTTAGCTCCGAACTCAGCTACAATGATTTTCATACCTGACCACAAAATAACTTTTGAAGATTTTGATACATCTTAGTACTTTCCAGATGTGCATGAGTAGAATATCTCACAAAGTGTCTCTTGTTGAAGTCTTTGATCTGGAACACAATCAATCTTAAAATCTCAAATTGTCATGTTGATCGATAATAAACTTGGGCTTCGATTCATTCTTTATTTTATCTCTAAGTTGTAGTAAGTTTGCATGCATCATCTGAGCTGCATGAACACGATCCAAAAGTGTAGGCTGAACAGACAATTGATACACACTACGAACAGCTTATGTCGGCATAATCTCGAGTTGGAGTTATCGAATTCTAAGAAGTTAAAAGATATGAGATGCAAATTTAAGGAAGGTTACACACAAAACGTAGGCTCCTACCACTCTATTACTGTGTAAGAAAAATATTTTGCATATTTTTAGTTTTATGTACGAGAACTTGATTTTTGGAGAAAATGAATCAAAAATGGTGCAATTTGGAGTAAAAACAAGCTAGAAAGGAAATTCTGACTTAACACAATTCAATATGTCTTTCTATGCTCTATCTACTTCATATTTCTCACATATTTTTGAATGAAATTACACTTAAAAAAATGTTGTTTTCATGCTTATTTTGTAAATATATTTGTTAGGAGTGAAACATAACTGAAACAGAGTGAAACGGAACTAAACGAAGCAAAATGTTGAAACTACTGCAGGGTGGCGCCTGAGGCGCCAAAATCCAACAACTACCTAGACCTAAAAAGAAAATATAGTTGCAAAACGGAACCAAACGAAGCAAAATGTTGAAACTGCTGCAGGGTGGTGCCTGAGGCGCCAAAATCTGGAGAACTGGCGCTTGAGGCGCCAGAGATGTTATAAGACGAATTAAAGCGGTTCGAGACGAATTTTGAGCAGATTTTTAAGGTTCTAAATGATTCAAACCCTCAATGGAGTGATTCAATGAATTTAGACACTTTGGAAGACTCTTTAATGAATGGATGTGTCTCTTGAATGAATAGACATGTCTTTTGAGATTCAAAAGGTATGACTATTGGAGAGAATTTGAGAGTGAATTTTGAATTCTTTTTGAAAGGAGGCAAACACTAATTAAAAAGGAGAAGAGTCTAGGGGCATGAGTGTGGTGTGAGGTGAGATGAAGGCTTTGGAGAAAAGAGGATTTTCTTCTAGAGTTGTAAGAGGAGAGGGAAGGTAAGAAATTTCTTCTTCATTACATTTTTATAAGAGAATTGAGTATGATTGCAAAGAGAGAAAATGTTTAAAGTGAACTTCTAGGGATTTGCTTGGGAAAAAAATTGTGAGATAAGTTGTTTTCTTTTCTTTATTTGTTTTGTAAACTTGTTTTTATATATGAAATCCGTGTTTTGTCATATATTTCTCATGAATTCTGAGTTGTTTTCTTTATCCTTCTCCCTAAAATGAGATTTGATTTTGTTTTATACAGTTTTAAATGTCAATATTTTGTGAGGATTCAAACTCAGATCTTTATTTATTTTTCGATTTGGCTAAGTGAAATGTTAAAATGTGTTAAGAAGCATATGATCTGAAAGAGTTATGATTTTTATACTATAATGAAAATCACATTGGATTTCATGAGAGATAATGTCATCCATGAGGTTAATGCAAATAAATAGAGAAATATACTTTATTGGATGTAGAATTGGAGATTTTAAGGGGACATATTAAAATTTTTAATTTGGTCAAGTTGATTGGAAACTAATGCGAGATTGTTAGCCCTCAGGCGAGGGAGTAGTGGGAGCTCTGGAGTGCGTATATATTTATAGATATAATCATGGGTAACTTTTTCATATTTTCCTTTGTAACCTTAGAAACATCCTTATGAGTGGTAACTGGTAGAGTTCTCGGACCCAGACGTGACTTAACCGGTTGACCACCTTTAAATAATTTTAATTTATTCACAATCCATGTACTTATTGTAAAGGGGAATAATGCTTTCTTAATTTTAAACTCTTCGTCACAAAACTTTATTAAGCCTTAATAAATTTAACTTTGAGATTTAGAAATTAGTTTAGTAAACTTAGTTCTTTTAGTTACATTTCTGTTAACATTCATTAAACTTTTTTTAACTTGTCTTTCTTACTTTAATTTTTTATAGTTTGAATATTGTGATTTATGTTATTATCATAAGAATTTCATCTTCTAAACTAAGACTTGATAGTGGTATACTGGAATTACCCTAATTTTAAAGAAAGTCATATATTACCTGAAGCGATATGTGCACTTGCGTATAACCCTTAGTGTTTGAACTATTTTATATATTTTATATAACATTTCGATTTTGCACATTAAATACTTAATATAAATTGGGTGAAGATTTTTGCTATATTTTTTGAAGCTAAATTACTGCGTAAGTTTGGAACGGATTAAGTTTTTGACACTGTTACCGGGGATTAAAATTAATATAAAACATGCAGAAAAATAGCACATACCAAGGGCGCATCAAATCGCTTCCTCTTCTGTGCTTACTTGTACTCCTAAGTATCTTCCAAACTGCATACGTCAAAGATTTTTTGCTTAAATATCAACGACCATATTCATTTTACAAGCGTGGTACTGAATCTCCAAATCATAATCCTTCATCAACTTTAGTCATCGCTTTTGTCTCAAGTTCAACTTTTTTTGGGTAAAAATGTACTTCGAGCTCTTATGATCTGTGAAGACCTCAACAACGAATATCATAAAGGTGGTGTCTCCAAATCTTTAGGGTATAAATAACTACAGTTAACTCCAAGTTGTGGGTAGGATAATTTCTTTCAATATATCTTGAGTTGTCTAGAAGCATAAGCTACAACCTTGCCATGTTGCATTAGAAGATATCTTAATCCTTGATGTGAAGCACAATTGTAGATTTGAAATCCATCTGTGCCAGAGGGAATTGTGAGAATTGGGGTTGTTACAAGGTAATTCTTGAGTTCATGGAAACTACGCTCACAAACGTCATACCATTCAA